GCAAAACAAAAGAGGAGGAGCAGGCATACAGGTATTTTGGGGGGAAAACAACACCCATGAAAAAATCGACAGGAAAACCAGAGGAAACTAAGTGAAGATCACATTAAGCATCTTTAATGATCTGAGCCGTGTATGTGTCTCAAGGACAATGACATTCAAATGTATGGATATCAGCTCACATCAAATGCACCCAATGGGGCAGGCAGGTCACTTCTCACAAGCAAGCTGGGAGCACCAACAAAGGGGTAGTTCTCGGGGAGGCGGGTGTGTATGTGTTACTGGTCTGAACCTCCCTCATTAATCAAAGGGAATGAGGAGTGCTTCCACCAGGGAGCGGAGGGGGTGACCTTCAGGGTGCCAGCCTTGAGCTGAGGCTGGTCTGGAATGGTCCTAACTGTGCCACACACCACCACAGCCCTGGGTGCCCAGGTCAGCATGAGCAAGGTGGTGAGACGTGGAATCTGGGGATAGATGGGCCAGAGAGGATGGATGCCCACGAGGCCCAAAACATGTGCCCCAGTGTCTCTGATGTCCCTTCTTCAGGATGGATGAGATTATTATTATGGCAACACGCACTGAGACTGGCCTCAAGAGACAAAGACAATTGGTTAGTTCTTATACAGTTCCTCTTCCAGAATTTTTTTAATTTAGATTGTTGTTGTGTGCTGTCGAGTCAGAACTGAACCTCCTGAGGGTTTTCAGAGGTTATATACAGCATGGGAGGAGGCTGCACATCTTTGAGAGTAGCTGGAGGATTTGAACTGCCTACCTTTGGGTTGGCAGTGAAACTCTTCACCCATGAAGCCACCACAGTTCCCTTCAGATGAGTTTTTATAAAACAGTATATACCTGAATGTGTGTTCATTTTGGTGACTGTCCACCAGCACACACAGAGGCCTCAAGCCACGTCTCGGCAGCTCCTCTGGGCCAGTAGCACTGGGAGGTGCATGCCATCAAATGTCCCGCAAACACCTTATTCACACTAACCCGGTGCCTCCCTCTGGGTCCCCTGACGAGGCTCTGCAAAGTTTGTGAGAAGTTTTCCTCTGCCCGTTACAAGCACTGGGGAAGTGCAGGGTTCATAATACAAGCAGCAGAATGAGACATGTCAAAATGAAATGAAAAATAAACTGTCGGGTGAAGCAACGAGGACCTGAAGTCTTTTCCGAGAATCAAAAACAAGAATAAGCGCTCATTTGAGCGGGCGACTGGGGCAGTTTCAGTGAATGGCACTGACAGCCGCTGGGTGACCCCGGCCTGGGCTGCGTTCTCTCTAGTAATGGTAGAAAACCCCAATTTTTTTTTATGTCTCTTAAGAGCTAGTTGATAAAAATTATGTCTTGGGAAATCGGCAAATAGTCTGCAAAGTGAAATGAGAACAGAAATTAACAGATTAAACAGAAATGAGAAGTGCAGGGGATGGGGCAAATGGAGCGGCACCAGGTAGAGCCCTGATCGTGAGAGCTCCAGGTCCCATGTGCTTCTGCAGTGGCTGGTGCGGGGCCCAGGTGGACTTAGTGGAACCCCCAAGTCTTCATAGGAAAGAACAACCCCCTAACTTTTAACATTTCCCCACAGCTGTGTGGTATAGTTCACTCTCAGAACAATTCAGTCTCCCTGAACCTGAAGGTGGGCAGAGACAGGAGCTGCCTAACATCGGAAAGGTTAGCCACACTGTTCATGTCACATGGGTCAGCTGGGCTCAACCGAGAGTGACATCTGGATAGTCACAGAAAGGGTGCAGTGGGAGCCAAGGAGGACCCTCTCAAAGGCACCAGGCTGCATCCCCTAAAGGGGGGGTCCAGGACACAGGTCTGTGAGTGCTGACAGGAAGGCACTTCAGCGGTTCTCCAGGGCCCGGGTGTCGTTCATCCCTAGCTAGGAGGCACTGCCCTCAGGGGATAGATTCAGGAAGAATCTGGAAGGGTGAAAGGATCTACAGACATCCTAAGAGGGACGAGAGGCGAAGAAGTGGGCACAGCGATGACATCAAAAAGAAAGACCACAGAGAAAAAGCACCAGGAATGATTGGCGGAAACAGGACAGCTCTGTCAAGGTCACAAATTCAGAAGATCCCTGGGCCGTGGGGAAAGGACAGTGGTGGGGAAGGAGGTAGAGTCAATGGAATCAGCCAGAAAGGACCTGGAGTGTCCGCCTGTGCCTCCACTCTGTACCCCAACTTCCTTGGCCTGATTAGGAAATACATTCCTCAGTGATATAAGAATGGCACAATATTCCCAAGTTCCCCAACATAATGCCGCTGTCCCTATGGCCAAAACGCCAAGAAGGGGTTGGGCTAGCCTCTAGGAGGTAGCGATCACCTGAGATCCTGACTAGAAACCCACACGCACCTAAGTTTGAGGTCTAGAGCTTCAGGAGGCACCCCTGCAAGTCCAGGACTTCATATCAAATGGACACAGCCCTAGGAGTGGGGTCAGGAGTGTGGAGGACTCAGAAACCAACCTGGCTCTTCATTAAAAGAGGTGGGCGGCTAGATTCAGTAACTAGGGCATCTTATCTCTGGTCCAGGGCCCCACCCCATCCCCTGAGAATACACAGCCTCACTCCTGTGGCCACCACTGGGCCCTTTCTGGCCATCCATGAGGACAAAGAAGAGGAATCTGGGGTGTGAGTGGGAAGGCTGGGGAAATGGGAAGTCTGAGGTTAAGAGGAAACAAATCAGCTAAAACCCATGGATCTGTACACCTTGATGCCTGCCCTACTAAGTCCAGCTGATTGAGACTGCAGGAGCAGCTAACAGTGAGCAACAACTTGGCCTGGGACATGGTTACTCCAAGCCCACTCCTTCCTCTCTAGCTCCCATTCCCAAAGACTTGGCTTGAGGTGAAGAGCTAGCATCTGCGGGATGCTCCCACCTTGTTCTGCATAACCTGGGCTTGGTTCTATCGGATGAGGGTCTGTCTGGGGCAGACAAGGGTGCAGGTCACTAAGATAGCTCTGTCAGAGGTTCCTTAATCAGTTCATGGGACCTGCGGACAGGTTCTCACGAGACAAGTGCCTTAGCATGAGGACCACTTTTTTAGCCCAAGTGACTCCACCTAAGAATCCCCAACTCTATCCTCCTGGGATTAGAGCCATACAAGGGAATAGTGGTGACCTGGCACTCAGTGGACTGAGATCTTAAGTGTCCACATCTTTGTTCCCGGGGAACGAAGCTAAGGGTGGAAGTAGAATAGAACGCTTCCTCCTCAAATAGCCAGCCACTAGCTTCTAGGCTGAGCAGGACAGGCAAGGAATGGGGACGAGGGGCAGTAACACAGCAGGGTGCGTGCACATGTGGGGTCCACGCCCGTCATAACCACCGTCACGGTAAGCCTCTCCCTCTATGCTCCAGCACAGCGGCCTCCAGAACATTCCATGAGGATGCAGAGGCTCGCTTCTGTGCTGCTCACTGTGGTGGCGACTAGTCACATATGCTTACTGAGTCACTGAAATGTGACTCCCGTGACTGAGGAGCTGGATTTTTCATTGTAATTAATTTAAATCTAAATTGAAGCTGCCACGTGTGGCAAGTGCTGCCCTGGGAGACATCCATTGGAGTGAGAGTGGGGGGGGGTCAAGAACAAGAACCCTGGCATCCAAATTCTGACTCTGCCCTCTGCTAGCTGGGCACCTCCCGGAAAGGGTCCTTGACTTGGCTATGCTTGGGGTCCCCATTTGTAAATGAGGACAATCTCAGGGAGGCAGGAGGTCCAGCAGTTCTGGCTAGTGCCTGTCCCTAAGTGTTGGGTCTGCTGCTGTGCGTGGCCATGCTCCCTCCCCTCCTGAAGTCGGAGGTGCCCATGGACGCCACCATCTGTGAGGAAGTCTTCCTGAGGGAGAACAAAGATCCTTGCTGAGGCCTCTCAGGCAGGAGACTGATTCTCACCAGGGGACATGTTTATAGGAGAGCTCCCCCCACCCACTACTCTATTTTGACCTGCTATGGGGCAGTCCTTCTCACCCACACCTTTGGAAAGGTGCACACACCTGAGATGACCCAACTGACTCCCATATTCACAGACCGACAAAGTTGCTGAGCGTCACTTGGCCCGTTGGTGCTGGACTCGGCTCTAAGTGTTTTGAATACATCCTGGACACCCCCCACCCTTTTCCTTGACCCAAAGTTGGGCTCCAGCCTCTCACTTGCCCTGCTGTTCGCTCACTCTGGAGCCTCATTCTTCCAGGACCTCAACTTTACCCCCTCCTACCCCCCGCTTCCTAGCTCACCTCAGACCCTGTTACTCCAGGCTCCCGAGTCTTGACATGATGACCAGCCAGGAGTGAGCCTCCTCCCTCAGCAGAGAACACACCTGCTCCTACCCCTTCCCTGTTCCCCCTGGCCGTCCCTGCCCACACGCACCTCGTATGTTCTCATCCATGCTCCAAGGCTGGTGGACTCCTCAGAGGAAAGCAAACCCCACAAAAAAGACTTCACATAGGACCCCCAGGACCACCCTACTGGTCACGCACCAGCCGTTGTAGGCAGAGCAGGCTGGGCATAAGTGGGCATTGTCTCATAGTTCTGGCGCCTGCCCAGGGGGACGAGGGGATGAGACCACCACTCAGGATGGACAATGACAATATCCCAATGACACAACACTAACACATCAGAAAGGAAGTGAGAGCTGCCAAGAAGGAGTTGAGGAGAGGTGAAAGGAAGGGGAAGGCGTGAGATACCAGGTACCTCTGGAGGTGGGCACGAGGTCAAGGGTGAGAGAGACCTCCTGCCTCTAGAGCCCAGTCTCCAGTGACCCAATCGCAGAAGATGGACAAGAGAGCTTTCCCTTTCCTTTAAAAGCCGCCCTTCTTCAACCCTCAGCGCCGATGAACACATCTGCTAACCAGAATCTCTGCGCTGCCCCTCCTCGTAAGTTAAGTGGAAGCGAAAATTAGCGCATACAGACAGTTCCACAAATGAATGTGCGTCATGGGCTGTGTTCTGTTCAGGGGTCCCAGGCCTCCCACGTTTCCAAAGCCCCTGACATGGAGACACTCACCTGGGAACTGATAGCCATAGCTGGGAGCAAATCCAGGGTAGCCGCGGCCGTAGGTTGCCACAAAGTTGGGGTAGCCTTGAACAGAGCGAGAAAGGTGACAGTCCTGTTAGTTCAGCTGTCGCTGGATTCTCCCAGGGACGGTGGGGATGGGGACAACGGAGTTATTTCCTGCCACAAAATTAACTTGTCTCCCAGGAGGGTCTTTACCCAGGGCCTGGGTCGCCTTCCTCCTGAGGCCTGGGGCACACTGTCAGCTTGCTGGTAATTAACCCGTATTTGGGCAGCCAGACCCCAAAGACCACGGACCTTCTCGAACCTGCAGAGTAAATGCCACAAGTTAGCACCAAACACAGGGCTGGCGCCTGGCTCTGACATTTGGAGAGCTTAGCCTGAATGTACTTTACCTTAAAGCTATTGACAGTAGGAGATTAAAGTCCTTGTACAGCCTCCTCCCAAGGCTGGAGGACAGGCGTGCTAGAGCCAGACAGAGCAGCGGGCACACAGGCACCAACGATTAGTGGCAAAGGAAACTTGTGGCTGGCCTCGTGCTCTTGGGAGACACCAGGCAAATAAGCTGTGGTCTAGGGGCATTGGTGTCCCAGGAGCCCATGTGCACAGAAAGGACCCTTCACAGGGATGCCAGAACCTTCACCAAGGCATCCTCGAAAGGCAGGGATGCTAAGTGAGTACAATGACACACGGACCAGCAGCTTCGTGTTATATTGTGCAGTGAGCACCTTTCCCTGAGTGCCTGCGTGGTGCACATGATTAACACGCTCATCCATAAACGAGCATCCTATCAGGGCCTGCGTCCTCGCTCTACGCCAGCCCCTATGATCTACTGCAGATCGAACTGCTGTGATCTGTACAGTTTCCAGTGACTGATTTGGACATAAATCACCAGGTCTTTCTTCCTAGTCCATCTTAGTATAGAAGCTCCACCACAACTTGTTTACTATCATGGCAATAAGCAAACAGGTGTCCACAGACTGGTGGATGGTGGCTGTGCGAGAGATGTGTTGGACACGAACTGACCCCCAGGCCTCAGTCTCCTGCATGGTAGTGATAATGCTACACCAGAAAATTCTACTCTGGAACCACCAACCACCATTGCCCATTAACATAAACGACAGACTTTAGTTAATAATCATCATCATCATCAACAACAACAACAACAACAATGCTATCAGTTCTGGTTGATGACTTAACAAACACACTGTGGCTCCAGGGGAAACCACATGCATGGGAACTCTAGACCTAGGGCACAATGAACCTAAAGCTGGTCTAAAAAGTCAAAGTTATCAGAAGAAGGAGAGAAATGACCACGGCCACCCTTCCACAACCTGCACTCGTCTGACTTTTTGTTGGACCACTCAGGTGGCCGCTGCTGGCCGAGCTGTGCCGCCCAGCATCTGGATACCCTGCCCTGTGTGTGAGTTTTGGAGGTGAGCCCCACTCTCACTAGGGAAGCTGGAAAGGGTCCTCGCCTCTCTGAGCCTGGCAGCTGGGAGGCAGGCTGGGGAAGCAGAGCTTGGCCAACTGGATGCCTTCCTGGGGTTTGCAGGTGGAGCCAGTGAGAGAGGAGGGGGTGGGTTCAGAATTCACTGGGCACCAGCGGCAGAGTTCAGCGGCCAGTGGCAATAACAGTGGGCCTGCCCCAACCATCCCTGGGCTGTCCCCTTGGCTACGGCAGCGACCACCCACCTTTCCCAGATCCTGCCTGCTTCTAGGTCTGCTTCTCTAGATTTCCTGTCAGTTGCATGAAATGCTCACGACCTTTCCAATGACCTTCTTCGCTGCTTACAGCCATCAGAGCTGTTTCTGTTGCTTGCCATCAGATACACTAGTAGAAAGTGTCTTCTGTCAGTTGATTTATGACAGTCTCCACGGCCTCCTGTGGTGAGAGGTGGCAATGACCTCTTCCCATGTGAGCCTCAGGACGTAGCTCCGTCATTGTAATTAGTGGTCATCCTGCAGCTCTGACTCACAGGGACCCCACGTGCCACAGAAGGCAGTTTGCCCCGTCCAGCATCACTGTCACTGTCTTTGATAGGCTCAGGTCCACTGTGACAACCACTGTGCATTCAGAATGTTTTCCAACTAAAGTGATTCATCTTCTCGCACTTAAAGGACAACATTCTCTCTTGATAACATGCAGATCCTCTGGGTAGGCAAATGATGAAACCCCAGGAGTGTGTGTCTAGGGATAGTTTTTAAAAGGTGGAATAAATCTTCACTACTCCTCAATGAGGGGGCTCTGGTGGCCCAGTGGGAAGAAGCTGCGCCACAATACCGAAGGAACATAGTTCAAGGCCGCCAGAAGCTTTGTGGGAGAAGGGTGGACAATCTCCTCTTGTGCGATTAAAGGCCTCTGAAAACCCGCCAGAGAGTCAGCTATGGGTTGGTTCCGACAACCCCTCTATGAGGGAGATCTGGTGGCCTAGTGGCAAGAAGCTATGCTACAATCCAGAAGGCACGCACAAAGCTCGAATCCACCAGCTGCTCTGTGGGAGAAAGATGCTCAATCTCCTTCCATGTGATTTACAGCCTCGGAAAACATGCTGGAGGGTGAGCTGTGAGTCAGTTTTGACTTGAGGGCAATGAGTGACCCATCTATCACTCTGCCATACTGTGGTGGAAGTTATTATGCCAGCAGGTTATTTCAAATACTAGCAAAGTCTCATCCATAATGGAGAAGTTACAACATAGCTTCCAGGTTTTGATGGGCTGGGAAGCAAGGCCTGCCAACTGGCTCCTGAAAATGAACCAGTGACAACCCTACAGGTCAGGATAAAATTGTTCCCAAGTTCTAGCTTGCATGGGCTCTGGAAGTGTGAGTCCTCTGGTTTCATGCTGCCTGTCCAGAGCTTTCACACATCAGAGGACAAGCTGGGCACTCATTCCCTCGCCTCCCTACCTTTGGTGGTGCCATGGCATCCTCCTGTGAACAACACGCCATCAGATTTGAACCAGAAGCTGGCTGGACCTGCAGCTCGAAGACTTGGGCTCCTGGCCTGCCTCTGGCCGAAAGTCATTCCTCTGTGGCCCTCTCATTTATCTTCGGGTTTCAGTCTTGCTACACACAGAAAGTCTATAGCCCCTGGCAACACTGGCCTGACCAGGTTCTCAACCTAGACCAGCCATAGTTCCTTATTCCTGCTTGAGCCAGGAAAGAAGGGGGGTGGGGTGGGGAAGCACTGCTGTGGCTGTAACTCTGTCCTGTGTGTGTCAGGGTAGAACCACACTCTGTAGGATTCTTCCATGGCTGATTTTTCAGAAGCTGATCTCCAGGCCTTTCTTACGAGGCACTCACACAGATGGATTTGAACTTCCAACCTTTTGATTAGCAGCTGAGTGTGGTAACTTTTTGCATGACCCTTAAATTTATAGTGAAAACACAATAGCCAGTTGGCACGATTCCACCTGTCAAGGGTCTTGCCACTCACTCTCACCTGTGGCCCTGTGTCCACTGTCCAGTACAGAGTACCTGGCCGGCAGAAGATGCCCAGGTGTGACACAATACCATGACCCTGCAACTGCCCACTAACTACTGAGGGCGGGACTCAAGTGAGACGCAGGGCTCCTCGGGGAGAAGAGACAGGACGAGGGACAAAGAGGGACTTGAATGTCTCCACCAGACACCCTCCCTCTACTCCTTCCTCGTGTTTATTTCATGGCTGGGCAGCTCAACTCTCCTCCAGATTAATCACCTGCTATGAAATAAAATCTTTCAGCTCTACATTTCTTATACCATTATTTCAACGCTATTGATAAGCAGATCATATGAAAACAGTCACATCACTGCTGTTCACGAGGCCTTCCTGATGAAAAATGGCTCCTCTGCTCCCCTGTCAGCACCGAGGGCCCTTAAATATCTGAGTCAATCTGACAGCCCGGGTGTAAGCCAAGGTGTCACCTTCAAGACTCCCTGGGGGATAGAATATGAGACCCTCTCTACTTTTGAGCCAACAGCCTGATGCCACTTTTATTTGTTTGCTGGCTGCTGTACCCGGAATTTTCTACTTCAATGAGAAGAAAGGCACACCTAACTTCACCCCAACTTTGGGCCTCACCCCGATCTTCCTGGACGAGTCAACATCATCTCCTGCACAACCAAGATGAGGATCTGGGCCTCTGCCGGGTGGGGGATCTTATCTTCACTCCCCATCACGGAACATCCTCCAGGTCAGGCAGATGAAATCATAAATTTATAATACAACATTACTTCAATTTTCCTCTTCATTTACTGCTGTGAAGCCCAGCTCTGCTCTGACGGCTCACAGCCCCAGCCACACAGGGGAAATTGGCTGGCTGCATATCAATAGCACATTACAGCAGACCCAGGCGGACGCTCCATCAAGCCACATCACGGCGGGACGACCTCGCCACCACTTCCATTAGCAGCTGGGCCCCTCCCGCACTGGCCACTGCACAATTTATTTGCTCCAGTACTCTGGACGCCTGATCAATCCCACAGTAATTATCTCTGGCCGCTAGGGTGAAAAACCAAGCCTTCTGCCTGGATAACCACCCTCCTTGAGCAGATCAGCTTTCCATCACAGGAACAAAACTCCGAATCCACAACAGAATTGGGATTTGTCAGTCAGCTCGTTCCAGGGTCTCATTTGTGGGGAGATGTTGGCAGGCACCCCAGAACAGTGGTTCTAGATCTTTGCACCGACCCTACAAGCTGTATGCATTCTAGACAGGTGCCATGCCGCACCTTCTCCCAGGCTCTCTTCTCAGCCACTCAGTCATGGAAAGCTGCACCCACTGTGAGCCTGACTTGAAAGAGACAAAGGCTGTATCCAGGGAGCTGTCAGAGTATGAAGCATCTGGTGCATGAAGCCAAAGACCCCGTCCCACCATGGGTCTGCATACAGATGCAACCTCAAATTGCCAAGAATCCTTAGGCAAGGAGTGAAATCCCAAATCTATAAAGATGCTCGGTCGCCAGAGCCAGCCCGAGTCCCTGGGGCTCCTCAAGACCTATACTGTCCGATCTAGCTACGAGCCACATGTTGCCATTTAACTACAATTAAGTAAAATAAAAACCTCAGACCCTCATCACACAGGCCACACTGCACCAAGCACAACAGTTACAGGTGGCTAGGTAGTGGGTACTGTGTTGGGCAGCACGGATACAGGACATTTCCAGAGTAAGAAGCTCTACTGGACTGCACTTTGCTTTTTAAGATGGAAAATGAAGGGCTGAGCTTTGAGTTTCTTCTGCACATTTGGAAACAGTTAAACCAATGGAAACCTACTTAGAAATGACCTAAACAGATCTAAAAGTCTTCCAATGCATGCACTGTAGTCTTTATACGCAAATGTTTTAAATTCAAGATTCCAAAAGTCAGCAGATAGTATTGGGCTCCATTCTTTTTCATTAAGGTTTTATCTTAAAATGTGAAACTACCAATACTGGATTGAATAAGAATGCTGACAAATTGTTAAAAATGTAACCAATGACACGGAATAAAATGTACAGAAATTGTTCAACAGGAACTTAATTTTCTATGCAAACTTCCAACAAATATACAATCAAAATAAAAATAGGCAATGAAAACCAACTACCAATACTGAATGCTTAGATCAAAGATGCTAGAGGAATGTTGCTCAAAAGAGGGGGTGTGTGCAACATGACTTCACAGTCACCTAAAATTCAGACTTCCTAGATCTGCTGAGGTCAGAGATTTCCCCAAAACTATTACCTCAAAGAATTTTTAAACAGGAACTGAATCCATGGCTGGAAGTTATTTTTGAACAATAAACTCGCTTTAGTCTAATTAAAAAACATATTTGCATTATACTCCTTTAAAGAATGATCTCTATGTGGTCAAGTTGGCAATAGCAACTCAAAAGGATAGATGAGAAGCTTAGGAGGACCCCGAGTTTGCACTGGTGATGGTAAAATAATTGAAAAGAGTAAGGGAAAAAGTAAAGTAACTTGAAGACTACAACAAATGTCATTGAATAGTACATGAAGAAACTGCTGAAGTAGTCTATACTTTGTTAAGTATATTTTCACAAGAAACTATAAAAACCAATAAAGTCTGGGGTTTATTTTAGTATGCAATATATGGCCCAAATAAGAACTCTTTTCTGAGCAAAAGGTCATCAATTGTCTTAACAGTCAACCATGAGATAATTTTCTCATCTCATTGATTTTTAAATCATAAATATTTACACCCTTAGACATACGTGTATTTAGTTTGGGCTCTTCAATCTTTCCTATCAACAGGGGTTTTCATATTTACCACGCTGCTTTAGTTATGAAAGCGTGTTGTTGTTGTTGTTGTTGTTGTTGTGCAACTCTGTGGTGGAAGTGACCTGCAGGCAACTCTTCAGTGGCTTTTAGAGGTAGAAAATCAACGGGAGGAGACTGCCCACCTTTCTCCCTTGGAACAACAATTCCTTACTACTAAGCCATCAGAACTCCCTTACATACGATACAGCATACATAATACTATTGTACAGTGCTCTGGTATTTGGTTAAACTAGTCTCTTCTCAACCCTCTTTTTAAGATGTTCTCATGGACAATATATTATTATTCTATATATGCTTCAGAATTATTTGGCCAGTTCTTGAGACACTACAATTGGATTTTTATTTGAAGTTTCACTAAACCTAAAAAAACCCAAACAAACCCCCCCTCAAAAAAAAAAGCTTTGAGAAAAATGAACATCTTCACCATTTTGGAAACATTCACATGGCATCTCTCTCCATTTTTCAAAGTCCTTAAAATAACTTTACCTTTCCCTGCTATTTCCTTAGACAAGTAAATACTTTGGTCTTTTTAAGATCAAGGGCTATAAATGTAAAACTAAGCCAGAAATGATTTACACAGCAGCAAATTTGAAAATCTATAAAGAGCTTATCAAACAATATAGAAGAGAGACTCTTAGCCAAACCAAATGAAAACCCATTAAAACTAGACAGATCATGTGCCTGGATGGAATTTTACCATTAACTACCATTTATCCCATTTAATTAGTATTTTCCGGACACACAATAACTTGCACTAAAATACTGTTCTCGCGCCTTGAAATTTCTAATTATTGTTGCGACCCACACCATTACGCATCTCCACTGCTTTCTCCATCTTTCATGCCATTTAAGCCGTAAGATTTTCAATTATCTACGCAGGAAGGACAGAGATACCTTTAAGGAAAGGGGCATAATATGCAACTCAATTTCTCTAAAAGCCAGGAGAGATCGTTTTTAGTCAGAACAAACACACTTTGTCTTTCATCATTTTTTCCCCCAAATAAAGAGTAAAACAGGCTATTTAAAACATCCATTTATATGCAAATTTTCATATCCCAAGAGAAAAATGTTAATCATTTAAATAGACAGGATTATCACCCACCCTCACCAATTCTTCTCCTCTTCCAAGTTTTAGAAAATGCATCCTTGGCCCATATATGGTCTAAGTCACCAGGCATCCCTGGGCCTTTCAGAACCTCTACCGAGCAGAGAGAGGTAGGGAGGAGGGCCACTGTTCCTTCTTTTGACTTGCCCAGTGGAGTTGAGTTATTGTTAGGTGCCCTTGAGTTGACCACAACTCGCAGTAACCCTAAGTACAACCACTCTGAACCCTGCCCTATCCTGCACCATCCCCAACACTGTTGAGGAAGACCCTGAATGAGCTGGAGTGACACAGTGATTACAACAATAGGCTGGAGAATGATGGAGATTGTGATGGTGGTGCTAAGTGGACCCTCAGTAATGGTGACCCCGAGGTTCTCAGGGACTGACTTTTGGAAACTGGATCACTGAGGCACCTCTGGGCAGACTCGAACCGCTATACTTTCTGGTAGCATCCAATGTGCATTAACCATCTGCACCACCCAGGGACTCTTCTATCCAAAACAAACAAAGCCAAGACACCTCAGCAGACACATCAGTGTCAATTCACAGCACATCTACAAGTATAGGGTAGACCTCTGCATCAGAGGATTTTCTTTCTCTTTCCAGAAGCTAATCTCCAGACCATTCTTCCGAGGTGACTCTGGGTAGGTTCAAACCACCAATCTTTTAATTGGCAGCTGCCTGCCTTAACCTATGCACCACCCACAGGTTCCTTTTTTTAATAAGTGGATAGAAAGGAGAGAAAATACTGCTGAATTCCTTCTCAGAGCCAGACACAGGGAAGGAGGCTCACAAGCTATCACAGCTGCCTTGTAAGATGAGGAAACTGAGGCTCAGGCCGACGAAGCAGTTTGCTGGCCTCTTAGGCACCCCCCCCCCCAGGAAAGAGGTCTCCAGAGCCCTCCCGGCCCTGCCCAGACTCACCCAGCATGCCCATGCCCAGCATGAACGCATCCATGGTGTAAGGCAGTCCTCGGGCCCGGCCTCTTGTCCCAGGTGGGAACATGACTTCCTTCGGCTGAGCTTTCTTACATTCTACCTGTGAAACAGAGAGGCGGACAAATGAGATGCAAATGAATTCCACGAAAATGTCAAACGCAGAACTGAGCTGGTTACCAGTAAAGTTATTTTCAGCCTTGCTCCTTACTCACTGTAAAAATAGCCATGCCGAGTAAATGGCCTGCAAAATAAATATTTAAGCAAACACACCACTTGTGCAAATCCTACTTTGGAAAAACCTACAAGGATGAAATTGGGTTGTGGTGGGGCTGCAAGGATGGTACTGTGAGATACACGCACTTGAGTTAAAGTCAGACTGAAGTCTGCGAGGGTGGCAGGGAAGTTAAGATAAGACAGAGGCTTCTGGTGTCTCTGGGACTAATAACAATAGAGAAGAAATAATAAAACCCTTCTGATTTTCAGACACTGACATTGTTACTGGCTACAGCTGAGTTGGCTCCCACCTCAAAGTAACTTGTGCACAGAAGGAGATGCAGCCCAGTCTCATGCCATCCTTATGGCGGTGAATGGGGCTGTTATTCCTGATTCAGAGGGTTTTCATTGGCTGATTTTTAGAATTAGGTCTCCAAGACTTTCTTTCTTGTCTCTGTTAGTCTAGAAGAGTCCCTGGCAACATACAAGGCACCACCAATAGATGACTGGTGGTTGTGCAAGAGGTACACTGGCCAGGAACTGAACCTGGGTCTCTGGCGTGAAAGCTGAGAGTTCTCTCACTGAGCCATCAATGCCTTTAGGTCATTTGATTCTCCTGTTAAATAGGCTGGCTGGTTAATTTCACTTCCGCTTTACAGATGAGAAAAGTGACTGCTGGAAGGTCACAGCACAGCAAATCAAGGCTCATAATCCAAAATTTAAAAACTTTTAGTCAGCGATGCTGCCATTTCCACAAGCACACACCACTGCCTTCTGCAGTGATGTCATCCCATTAGACACCGGCTCTGTCCATCTGCATGACTGGTTTATCATTTTACAGCTACATCCTCAAGTGGTTGCTAATTTTCCCTGTTTCCTTTCTGTCTTTGAAATGTCTTAATCCTATTCCACGCACACATCCAAGTCATTTGTTTAAATGTACTGAACTACATGAAACAGGAAATGGAACAAACCAAACCCACTGCCATTGTGCCAATTCTGACTCATGACAATGTGCTACAAAACAGCTGCATGGGGCTTTCTTGGTTGCAGCAGATCACCAGGTCTTTCTATCGCAGTACTACTGTGTGAGTTTGAACCGGGGCTTCAAATCAGTTCATTCCAGTCAAAAGCCTGCTGAGACATCCAACGCAGATACACTGAAACAGAATCTATGGAAGTTCAGATTCAGCATATCTTGGTGGGAGGTGAGAGAAAAGCAAATTCCCAGCAGGGGGTTGAATCAGTTTGAAAACCCAGTTTGATCTACCCACTTCTAGGTTAATAATCCATGTTGTGCCATCCAGGATAACACTTGTCTGTTAAGTCTCTACTCTGTTTTACCAGGGAGAGCCTTAGACTCTGCCTTACGGTTCACAACTGTAGTCTTTAAAATAGATTTAATAAGTATGGCTTTCCAAAGTCAACTGCATTGCTGTTAAAGACAGGATGTTGGAGGGTGAGGCAGAGATGCTTACAGCAGCAAAAAGCAATAGTACGTCAGTCTGTGATGCAGAAAAGAGAAGAATCAGGTGTCTTACTCAAAAAGCAGAGTGGGGCATATGGAATAGAGGCAACAACTCCACTTAGCTCAACAGCTGCTAGGGGTATCTCCATAACACAGAAAATTCCCATTGTTCACAGTGAGTCTTCTCCATCAAGACCAAGTCAGACTAGGTTCAGCATACATTGCTTAAAAAAGGGCTAACATTAAGAGTAATACACAAGTGCTTTTACAAAGCAATGGGTAAAGGACCAAAACAAGTAATTCAAACATCGTAAACAAGGAAGACATGTTTTACTAAGTGTTAAAATATATCTGATGTCAGGCTTCTTAAGAAAATGGGGAGCAGGTATGGAAACTAGCATATACTTTTATCGAAGGCCATAAAATGTCCCTATTTTTAAAATTACACTTTTAGAAATTTGTTTCACAATGATATGGAGATAAAGCTATTCACCATTGTTGTTGTTAGGTGCCATTGAATTAACTCTGATGCACAGTGAACCTATAAACAACGATGAACTGTGCCCTATCCTGGGCCATCTTTACCACCTGTGATCTCCTCCAGCCTGGTGTTACAGACCTTGTGTCAATCCATCTTGTTGAATATCTTATTCTCTTTCTCTAATCCTCAGCCTTTTCCTGGCCTGATGTCTTTTTTTCCCCAAGACCTGGGTCCTCCTGGCAACATGTCCAAAGTATGTGAGACAAAATTTCGCTATCTTTGCCTCTAAGGTGCATCACAGATGTAATTCTTCCCAGATAGGCTTGTTTTGGCATTCTCACCCTTATTCACTGTCCAACTTTCGGATGTAGAGGAGGCAACTGAAAATATCATCGCGTGGACAGGCACATCTGAGTCGTTAGTACTCTGGAGAGGTCTTGACAGGAGATCTTACCAGCATAATACATCTTTTGATTTCTTGCATGCTGTTACCATGCGTGCTGATTGTGGATCCAAGTAAGATGAAACTGGTGACAACTACAATCTTTTCTCCATCTACCATGATGTTGCCTATTGGTGCAGGGGGGAGGATTTTGTTTTCTTAACATTAAGATGTAATCCATATTGAGAATTGTAGTTTTTATCTTCTGAAGCCAACGTTTCAAGTTCTCTTCACTTTCTGCAAACAAAGGTGTGTCATTTGCCTAATATAGACTGTTGATGAGTTGCTCCTCCAATCTTGATGTCACCTTCTTCATATAGGCCAGTTGCTTGAATAATTCATTCAGTATACAGATTGGATACTGAGAAAAGATACAACCCTGATGAATCCCTTTCCTGATTTTAAACCATGCAGTGTCCTCCTTTTGTTTGGAGAACTGCTTCTTGGTCTATGTATAGGTTTCACATGAGCACAATTAAGTGTTCTAGGATTTCTATTCTCCTCAGAGTCAGCCATAATTTGTTACAATCTACATAGTCAAATGTCCTTGCATAGTCAAAACACCAGGAAACATCTATCTGGTACTCTCTGCTTTGTGTCAAGATCCATCTGCATATATCAGTAATGATATTCCTCATGCTATGACCTCTTCTGAATCCAACTTGAAGTCAACTCAGTAGTAACTGGCTGATACTGGGGAAAGTCCTACACCCTCAGTAAAATAGGGCCATTGGTCACCCTAAACACAACATATGAGGAATCTGCAAAATTACATCAATTTTGCAGAAACGAAACAAGTAAGTGTAGTTGTTGCTGGTGAGGTTGATGGACTCATGGAGCTCTGGTCCTATCCTGCGCCTCAGGATCTGTCATGCTCAAGCACGCTGCTGCAGTTACTGTGTCAATCTGTCTTGTTGAAGGTTTTCATCTTTGTTGATGACTCTTTACTTTCCCAACCCTGACGTCTTTTCCAAGGACATGCCCTTCTGATAACATGGCCAAAGAATAAGAGATGAAATGTGATTATTCTTGCCTCCAAAGGGGACCCTTATTGTACTTCCTCCATGTTGTTATTTGGCAGTCCACAATATAGTCAATACTCTTTACCAATACGACAACTCAAAGGCATTCTTGCTTATTTACTGTCCAACTTTTGCATACAAGGCAAATGAAAACACCATTGGCTGGGGTTAGATGCACCTTAGTCTTTCAATGGACATTCTTGCTCTTGGGCACTTTAAAGAGGCACACACTACAGAATAAAAGCACGCAACCCTACAAGGATATAACACAGCTGTCGTCAACTAACTTCTGGGTTTTAATTTCACCATATATTTTCCTATTATTAATTTTCCAAGTTGTCTGCTTATGAATATCACTGTTGTAAGAAGAAAAGGTGATTTAAATACTCATCAGCGCCTGGTCTTTTGGATTTTGCTTCTAAACCAAGGGTGACAATGGCTTCTGGACTCCTGGACCCTTGGGTCCACCTCAGGGGCACCTGAGAGCAGCTTAGAGAAATCTTATTTGCATGAACCTGCCCCAAGCCGGGAAGATGGGCGTGCTCTGCTCCAGCAGACGGATAATTACAAACACCAACACCCGGCTGGGAATAATACCGCTAACCAGCTCACTTCCTAATAGCCCTATCGGTGACAATCTATTGCATTGTCTTATGAAAACCTGCCGCCTGTAACTAGGCAACCTGATCAACGAAAATTTCAGGTTTATACAATTTTCATTTAGGGAACATAAAGGTTAACTGACTGTAATGGGAGTATTTTAAACAAACCCACCTACTCTTCCTCTGCCGGAGCAAGTCTGGCAGCTCTTTTTAATTCTGCTCCGTGTCTGAGGCTGGGCTTCTGGGCAGTACCACCCGCATGGGCACTGTCAGCTACCGGCCGTCATCAACTGTGAGTGCTCCCCGAGGCGTGGGGCCGGGACACACATCCTCTCCGGGGAACCCCGGCAAGTCCTGGACACTTGAATGACAGGGAAAGGCGGTAGTCGCACTGGGGGGTCTAGCCTGACCTGTGCTGAAGGTTTCTTGAAAAGATTTCTCAGGACCAGGAGGCTTGCTCACTCAGCCCCTGGCTCCTGTATTGTCTTAGACAAAGGGAAACAAGGGTAGCTATTCTCTGCATCCTGAGTCTCACTGCATTCTGCAGTGGGTCAAGGGCTTGCTGAGGATGAAGGCTGTGTCAGTCTCCCAACTGACTGGCAAAGCCCATGTCTCTCCCACCAGACAGTCACTTCCTCTGCAGGGATCAGGGTTTGCTTCTACCTGCCCAGGTCCCCAGTGTATTCATGCCAGGCCTGGATTGACTGACATGCTCCCTGGAGCCAAGGAGGAAGATCTACTTATGCAGAAGGTCAAGGAGTGCTAAGCTCTGGGGCAGAGATGAGTAAGCAAGTGTAGAGTAAGCAGATGCAGCGTGGTGCACTAACTTAAAGGCTACACATCTCTAACAGTTCGAATCCAGTGGCTCTGAA